AAAAAAAAAAAAAAAAAAAAAAAAAAAAAAAAAAAAAAAAAAAAAAAACAATCCTTTGTTTTAAAACTGGCCTTTTTGTTTAGGCATATCCGAGCTGCAAATTGTTCAGAAGACCTTGATCATATTAACACCGAAAAGAAAGATCTTACACCGATGTGAAATTTTGTCCTATGCGAGTTATGATATTTATGTTCGTAATGAAAACAAAGTAATAGCAAATTGACTCTATATTTACAAACACGACTCCTATATTTTGAAAACGTAGTGTCCAACAATGTACATGTAAATCAACGAGTTGACTCCCATATTTATGTTGTAACTTCTCGGACATTGGTGTCAATACCATAAAATGGGTTAACTATGTCAACGGGCTCAAACTCTCGTCATGCTTGGGGTTATGCCCCTTTAAGACTGGTAGCTACGCTCCTTGACTCAGTCCCATGAGCTTCTCAATAGCACTCTTTCCTCTCTTGGGGTATACAAAGGAGAGCCTAGCACGTGCTTAGACTTCTCAACCCATAATAAATTGATCTACTGCTTAGACTTCTCAACCCATAATAAATTGATCTACTGCTTAGACTTCTCAACCCATAATAAATTGATCTACTGCTTAGACTTCTCAAAAAAAAGTTGTCTCTTGCAAAGGATGCTCAATTATTTTATAGATGAATGCAGCAATTCATGTGAAAGCCCATGAGACAGATCTTTGATTGATTTATTTGTTTATTGGTTTCAAAAATTAATCGGATTAGAAGATCATCTTTACCTTTCGAGAAGCATAGATTACAGCTCTGTTGGTAGAGAGAACGTATCATCTACGCTATGAAAGACTCCCCGTCAACTCCACTAGGCTACCGAAGAAAATTGCACCCACTTGCACCTTCCCCGTCTATACACCCAAAGATTCTTGCCTTCCCTTTTCACAAATCACTTCTATTACAAGTCTTCATCAGACTTTATCTTTAACTGCATTCACATTCAAAATAAATGCAATAGATCACTTTTCTTCCCAACCCAAACTGTCAACTCTTTTCTATCTTCTCAAAACGATGCTTTGTTCTGATTAGAATAATGATGTTTGCAGAGCTTTAATTTGTGTTGACAAATTTATGTAGTCTATCCAAACCAAATTAGGATAAACCTAACCTAATCTAACCTGATCTAAAATAGCCTAAGCAACTGCTAATTTCCAAATCTCAAATTAAGCTACCCCACCCACTATGTTTCATGTTCTAATCTGAAATTGGAGTTGGAAAGAATCATGTTTTTTCCAATATTTAGATTTAAATTACAACATATAAGAAACAAAATATACAACACACCTGTGAATACTTGGAAGAACCAAATTACCCAGAAGGAAAGACATTTAAAAGCAAAGGTCGGAAAACAGTATACATATGTGATAAAATTCAAGATATACTGCTGCTAGTAGATATTACGTGTACTTTGGCAATGACGGACAAAGAGCCATTTGATGAAGAACGCTCAGCTGGGCCAGCTGACTTCTATACAAGCCCCTCCCCCTCGCTCGGCCATCTTGCTAATCAGTTATTGGTTGTCTTCTTCTATACATGAGTTTTACAAGGCAGGTCGAGCTGCAAATAGTTGTGCAGAGTACGTTATTCACTTCTCAATTAATGATCGATAAATGAACCTTGAAAGTTTAAATTCCTTCCAAACTCTCTCCCAATCAAAATCATGGGCTGAGTCAAAGATTAGAAAGCAATTTACATTCACGACATAATCATGAATGGTGCAAGCTTAGCACCAAAGGAGGCATACCTCAGATTATGAAATCCTTCCAGAACACTAGAAATTTCCAACCACAATGAAGAATGCAAAAACTAATTCCGTAAATTACAATACAATATAATTTCCAACAGAGAGAAAAATTGAGAACATTCTTCACTCGCCGATTTAAGAACCACTAATTATGTGTTGCCATGGAATTTCTAATTATCGTTTCCCAAATTTTGAAACATAAAGAACAACTTACAATAGACGCCCGGACCAACTTAAAAAAAAAAAATTCTTCAAAAGCTCACACCGTTGCACTCGCAATATGAATAGTTTCTTCGATCAAAATATGTAAACCACAATTTTTTAAGAAACGAGTATATATAATCAAAAGAGGATAGGAAACAGGCTAAGGATCGAGTAGAGGGTACCCCAACAAAGATACAAAAGAATGATCTTCCAATAATTACACAAGGTTTTAAACACCACCACACAAGCTGCACACTAAAGCGTTAGAAGTTGAAAACTTATCTTCCTCACCATAAAGCGATGCAAACAACAATTTTGGAAATCACTCCCACATATATCAATCTCTAGAATACTTTCCGGCCCTCCCTCCTAGTTCATTAATTTGGAATCCATCGTATGGGTATACAATGTGTTATCACTGTTTGAGACGACAACTATGTTTCTCATTACAATATGGAGTGAGAGAAAAGGAGTAGAATACGTTATCAAACGAGAGTAGAATACTTGACTGACAATCCGAAGGGTGTTAAGTTTATACATATTAACCCACATCAAAGGAACTTTCAAGTTAATTCTTTGATTTAAAAACCCTCAATATATGTATATAAATAACTTATGAGGTAAGATAATATATAATTGAGAATTCATCATAACGGCAGAAACGAGTTTAATATAAGAAATAATAAGCACGAACCCAGATCAGCTGCCAATTTATTAGGGAAAGGAGAAAGCTCTCAGGTTTCCTCGTGGTCAGAGTGTTGGGAAGCCTCACATTCAGCCGAATTGGTCTCAACCTCCGGCTCAAGAGAAGGCAGATGGGCACCTATCATGAAGAAAATTATATATACATAAAAAAAAAAAAAAGAATAAATTCAAAATGAAAACGCAACGAAAGAAGAGCAAAACCTTGAATGAAGAAATGAGAAGAAGGCCAGCCACGGACGGTAGTGGTAGACAAGGATTGCTCTGGAGAGAGAGGGTTAGCGAAGTTGTGAAGAAGGTTGGCGATGGGAGGCAAATGGGAAGTAGAAGGCAAGGGAACCCAATATGAAGCACCGGGAACGAAGGGGAGCCAGTCGGGAGCCGACCGGCGAACAAGGATCCGTTGAATAGCGTCCTCAAGGTTCCGGAGCAGGGGATCGGAGGAAGGAGATTCAGAGAGGTCGGTGAGATCGTTGTCGGGAGAGGAGGAGAACGTACGGCGGCCGAGAGATTGAAGGGGAGATAGACGAGGACGAAGGAGATTTAGGGTTAGGGTTAGGGTTAGGGATCGGGATTTGGAGAGAGAGAGAGACATAAGGATTTTTGCAGAGAAACGGAAAGAAGAAAGGAAGGAGAAACAGATGGAGAAAAAGCTAATTTAATTTAATTCTAAAATAACCGACCGGAAATGATAATATATAGCGTCGCAATGACACGTGTCAGATGACTGTGCGTCGATCTAGGAAGCAAAAATTAAATGGGAATTAATTATTAAAATCAGTGGGCGTCTTGCAAGGGAAGTTTGAACCTGAGTCAAATTATGGCATGGGAATGGAATTTTTTATTTATTTAAGGAAAATAATTGTTAATTATATTTCCTTATTTTAAATTGTATTAAAAAATATTTAATTTCAAATTAAATAATATACGTCTAAAATGCCCAAAATTTTCAAATTACTGAATTAAAATTAAAAATTATTGAAAATCCATGTATATTTTTATTTAAACTATTATAATTTAAATTGTTTTTAAATTAATTGATTGATTATTTAAAATATGTGATTTATATTAAATCATACTACATAGTGCATTTCAATTATTTTTAATAAAATTTTATATTTTAAAATTTTGATTAGTAGGTTTTCTAATAGAATTAAAATGTTTTATAATAAGTTTATATTTATGATGCATTTGAATATAAGTATTATATTTAGAAATTGATTGAAAAATTAAATTATGATATTTGCTTGGATTGCATATCTTTCCTGATAAAATGATGTTTTTTTTCATATTTTTTTAACATAATTGCTATATATATATATATATATATATATATATATATATAGATTTCAAAAAGTAAATTAGTTTTAATAGGATTAAAAAATTTGCTTCAAGTGATCCAATAATTAATACTTAATTAAAAATCCTTAACTCAGATTAATAAACTAAATAAGATTCATGCTAGTTTCTAGCGATTTTTGGATTGTCCTTCCTAAGAAAGATATTTGCACGGGACAATATGAACATTCAATATTTAGATGAAGTGTTTATACTAGAGAATGTACCCCAAATGAGAATTAGACACGTAAAGAATTAACTAAGATTAATAAACTTATTAATGAATTATAAACTACCAGCAAGTTGCTTATTGAGTATTTTATATACACATCTTTGCTACTTCAATTTTCTTTTTAGGTAGAGTTGGATGTAGCGGTCGAGACAAAGACATGCGTGAGTTATTCCTAAGTTCTGAACATTTTTTTTTTCCTTCTGTACCACTTTGAGAATCACCCTCTAAGGCCCTTAGTAAAATCTCGAAACTTTTAAAAATGAATGACATTTAAGTATGAGTTATGTAGCTGCTAGTCTCAAGTATTAAAGTTTATATTTAATTTTTGTCTTCAATAACATTTTCAACTATTGTATGAAAATGCTTCCATATTAGTGTTGTGTTTTGGATTTGGAGCAGACCACCTAACGAGTTCCTTTGGGCTCGCATCTTTTGAAGGATGAGGAAGGGTTCGGTGTCCTTAAGTCCAAGTTCATCGCTAGTAGATATTGTTCTCTCTAAGTCTCTCTCATATTGTTCTCTCTAAGTTTCTCTCTCGGGTTTACCCTCAAGTCTTTAAAACGCGTTTGCAGGGAAAGGTTTCTTGGGCTCTCTTTCTGGCTTCCCCTCAAGATTTTAAAACACGTTTGCTAGAAAAATGTTCATTTAGTATGAATACTTAATATGATAATTGCATATGTTTGTTTGTAAGAATGGTAAAATTGTTTCATGTTATTATATAGTTTTAATGATTCCTAAAAATTGACTATTTTCATTGCTGAACTCTTCACTTCAAGACTTCAAGACATAATTAATTCAACCCACCCTTGATCTGCACATGCCACAAAGTAAAATTAAAGTGAGGACATATATGCTTATATGCTTTGGTTAACTATTCGAGATTTTTAAGGTTTCGAATCTCGGATCATGGCTGAAAAGTTGAATATGAAAATAAATAAAAGAAAAAGTAAAATGAAATAAAAGATGAAATCCGATAAAATTTAAATAGAAATAAAGAAAATAAAAAAAATACACTAAAATTAGATGAAAAAGAAAATTCACTTCCAAGTAGGTATGGCTTAAATTTATTATAATGGTGAAATTGGTTTCAGCTCCAAAATCAAAATATAAATGACTCAAATATAAAGATGGATTGACGCTCCAAAACGATCCCCTTTATGACAATGCAGTTCTTGAACACTCTTCCAACTCGCCTATAAACAAAAGACGAGAGAAATGGGTGAATATAAAAGTATTCAATAAGCAGATTAATTGTAAATTCTCATTGCATCCTAAATCTAATAGGTATCCACAAGATTTACTTTGAACTCTACGAAGTTATAGCCTAATCTCGCATCTAATCACTTGTAAATGTAAATAGTGAAATGATCAAAATATGCCTCATCACAAGTAAGAAGTAAATTGTAGATTCCACGTATAACATTTTTTAGTTAATTTTGTTACTTGCAATTAAATGAGTTTTTGGTATCATTCAAATGGGTTCATGACTTTAAACTATTTAAATAAAATTTATGTCGTATATCAATTGTTGCCGAAAAGGAGATAACAACAAGAAAATCAACAATAATGAAGAAACTTTGGTTATAAGAGATGAAATAGATAAGTTATAGATAGAACTTTTGAGTGGATTTCAGTCCATTTTAACAGAATTTCAAGCCAACCTTCGAGTGTCTTGATGATTAATCCATAATAAGTAAACTCAGTTAGAAAAAAATATATATATATGGAACATTCCCAAATACTATACACAATGATGTACAGAAACATAAATGAGTGAGACACCGAAGTAGATTCTAGAGTTTTAAATGATTATGACAAACTCAATAAAGAGTATGAATTTGAATGATTAAAGACATATTTCAAAATAATTACGACATACTCTTTAAAGAACACCGACCCTACATGACATGCTCTTAAAAGAGTATCGACCCTACATTGGGAGGAAGGGAGAGGAGTAGGCTCTACCGAACAGCTTTCGAACCACCCCTGAGAAGAGTTATGAATAAAACCAAACCAAAACAAAAACACCCTTCTCCTGTTTTTTTCCATCTTTTTTTCCATCTTTCTCACATCTTTCTCACTAGTTACTCCGGGTGGAATTGGGTTCCTAAATTCAATGAGATTTTGAGTCAGGAATCACAGATCTCCACAATGATATAATATTGTTCATATTGTCTACTTTGAGCATACGCTCTCATGGCTATGCATTGGTCTTCTCCAAAACGCCTCATACTAATGGATCTATTCCTTACTTATAAACCCATGATCAACCTATAAATTAGCCAACGTGGAACTCCCTCCCAACAATTCTCAACAATAAACGTCAGAAATAAACGTCAGAAATGAAATAAGGATTACCAATTAGAAAGCATCCAGCTTGTCTCTCATACACACACCAAACAAACAAACAAGTACACGCAAAATCACAAATTCCATTCATCAAATCATTCACACCTGAGAAGAATCAAGCAACTTGGGTAGGTTTCATTCTGGATTCTGTCTATTTCAGAAATCTTCTACCTGTCCAGAGGTAAAAGATATTTCTTAATTCTTATAACACACAGTAGATCAAGCAACTTGGTTTCAGGAAGCTGAAGAGCATACATATAAATTATATGTAAAATTCAACCAACTCATCGACAGCTTATTAAGAAATCTCAATATGGGTACAGCCAGAATCCACCTGTAACACAATAATCAAATACCAGATGCGTTCGAAGATGGAATACTTGTACTGGCATGCACTTTTAGTTTTGACCTCCTCACCATCTAAGAATCATGGCAAAAATCTATCTGCACAAACCATACAAAGACTAGTACCATTCAACGAAATCATATAATTAAACAATATCACTTTCTATAATATTCAATCACACCATATCCCGTGTCGATATGTCTCTCTGGAAGTAACGAGTCAATCCATTCCTCCCCAGGAGAAAAAACAGGAAGACTTAAAAATACCATATTTGGATCAAATTCGAAACCTATCAACTCTAACAACTAATCAATTCACTGTGCGCCCATACTAGCAGGTAAGCATACTTTGAGTTCTGTGGCTAACCATACCCATTGGTGTAATGAAAACAGGCTCATTCATAGGAAATAGATAAAAGACCTTTACTCAGCTCGAGATACAATTCAATTTGGGTGTTCTAGCTTCTACTAATACAGTGGTGTAAAGGAGAGCGCTTGCAACTTTCTAAGTACAGTTATTAAGTACTTTGAAAGTCATTCCAAACGGCACTAACTTGATTACCACCTTTATATTCTTAGCCCATATATTATTCTTATAACATAAACATAGCAAAGATAGTAATCGGAGCAGTGTTAAATCATTCAGCAAGCTGTATGCAAAAGGCTGGGTAGTAAAACTGCTGAAAAGTACCACAGCAGATGATTATTTATGCCGAGCAAACAAATTCAAATATACCATCCTTTTCTAAGTCTGAAACGGAGATTACATAAACCGAAACGATAACCTCATCGAACAAATGCTTCATTAAAAGCTGTCAAAATTCAACTGTTTTAACTAAAATTTACAATCATGTCTCGCAAATTCAAATCCCCTGAAGAAGAAAAACAGAAATAAAACCAAATTAGGATATATCCACAACCCCAAAACTCAAATCCAAATTTCGATGAATTGAATTATACCTTATACTCGTCGTAAATTCCGCCACTAACCAACCAACCAACCAAATCCACTCGTAGCCTCCTTCAATACATGCCCCTGCTACTTTTTCAGAATTGACCCTAGTGTGCCCAGAACAGCAAAAGCCAAAAGTGGGCTAACATCCAGGGTGTCGAATATTGGAGGGATTATATTCCGGAACAGGTTCAAGTAAGGATCGCAGAGATCACGAATTGCAGAGAGTGGCTGCCGGTCCCAAGGGATATTGGGGAACCAACTCAGCAAAACCCTAACCAGCAGAACCCCACTGTAAATATCCAGCCACTTGGCCAACCCCGCAGCCACCACCGTCAAAGGCGTGTTGAGATTTCCGCCAGGGCGGTCGACTAGTGCAGCGAAGAACAAAGAGCCAGCCGGCTGGAAGGCACCGAGCCCAGTACATGGATTTACGAGACATTGGGCAA